GGCAAGTGAAAGACCCACCAAGGAAACTCCATGTAGACACATAATTTGATGTTAACTGTCACACACCACGTAAAATAGTAGTTTTTCAAGTACTGCAATCTATTCTAAAATAAAAACATTTCCAGAAGCAAATACCAGAAGAAGGCTGGCCAGATCATGCTTTGGAACTGTTTCTATCATGGCTCGCCTGTCACGACACCAACAACCGTGTGGATATGGTAATTAATAAAGGGTATAGATCTGTGTCAGCATGGCTGGCACATCGAAACACAGGCAGCTGGTCATGCTTAGAACTTCAGGACCTATAGTTCCGAATGTGGAGGGTTCTACTACGATGAACCGATCCAGTTTCGATTCGTCAACCCCACTGGTAGTACTCACCTATACCCTTAATATTAAGTTATTCACATAAAAACTCCTAATTCCGTTCCGTTTGTATTGTTAGACCTTTTCGACCCATTTGTACACTACGGCATGTGCCATCAGAATATCGCATACTGGTTGATATGTATAGCTTCCCATGGCTAAACTGCCTTATACAAATGAGCTGTAGAGTTTGAGACCATTGGGTGACGAGAATGCACGGCAAGCGCCATCATCGATCGCCGCCCGCGTAGTTCATGCGTCGCGGCAGTAGCGGTCGATCGCTGGGCGCAGATCGCTATTTACATATAGGGACTGCAATTAATGCCCTAAGTCGTTCATCGTTGAGGAACCGTGAAATCGACGCTTTCCACGATTCTCCAACTGTGAGCAGAGTATTTTACCCTCCCTTTTCATCGGGGTGGAGTGCATATTTATCTGCTTGGCTTGCACTTGCTCGTATGATTCAGAAACCAAAGGTAGCAGTTCCGGCTGATATGTTACATTTTAGGCCTCCATAGGCGCAGGTGAAAGAGAGGGACGCGTGGTGTGTCCTCTAGTGCGAAGGCTTCATTGCAGGTAAGACTTCAAAGTACTAGTATGCACTTTGTATCACTTCCCTTCCGTTTTCTTTTTCTCTTCCCTATTTTTATCTTCTCATACTGCTGAAGTCATATTTACCTTCGTTTTACGGGGTACTCAAGTATTTTTATAAATGTAAATCAATCACATCAGTAATTTCAGCCTCACCCATGGTATCGGTCGGAGTGGGAATATCGCTGACATTCAACCAAAAGCCCTTGGCTCTTCTATGCTTGCCTGTCTCGCAAACGAGCTCGCATTGCATGCGATTCAGGAAATCGGTGAGGAACATTAAAAGGTCTAATTGGAATAAATCAAAAATGATTTAATTCTGGGAAACATCTACGCTTGTCATCGAATTCTTTTTTTCAATAGAAACCTAATGTGTTGAGAACATTTAGGATAGTGTAAGGTCACCTAGTATCACAGATTGAGGGTTCAGTTCGCGATAAAGCGAGACTTCCAATTAGGACATACTTGTGGGCTCCAAGTGCACCATATGTAGCGCTTTCGGAGCGAAAAACAACCTGAGTAGGACGTAGCCAGGGCTCAAAGACCGGCTTTGTCGACGTTCATGCCTGAAAGCGGACGAGTATGTTGTAGAGGCTGCATCATTCGCGATGGAGCACATATACTGAAATTTTGAATAACCAGTAGTAACCTACGGCTCTATGCAAGTCAAGGCAACTTCGGGCATTTTTGGCTTACTATGAACAGCTATTTACACAATTGCCACGACTAAAAACTCGTCCGAATGTCTCTTACAAGTCACTTCCGTCACGGTAACCTCATACAACACCCAATTTCAAATACTTTTTAACTCTTCGGATTTCACCAGCTTTGCCGCTTTTTTCGCTTTCTTCGTTACCGAAGGAGTAACACCTATAGAAACTTCTTCTCTCAACTTGAAAACGGTAACTCGAATTGTGCCTCCAACGTAATGCTACAACTAACTAATCGGCAGATGTTACGTCAGATGAGGGAGCTCTCGAAGGACATATCCTGCTGATTGTACTGTATACAAATTTTGAGGGTGTTGGGGAGACAGGGCAGTCTCATACCCACAGACCTGCCTCACTCACTCGCTCCTTAACTGAACTCATAGGGAAAAATAGACAAAAGAGGTTCGCATGCGGTGTTCGTAGAGGGAAGCGGAGATAGACGCAAAGGCAAGTCATCTGCGGAAGTAGACTAGTTCGCGTACTTGCTAGTTGCCTCAGGATCGTAGTAATAATATAATGAAGCTTAAGCTTCGAGATGACATATTCTATCTAAACACAGAAGCGGAAGTCATGAGTCATGGTTAGAGTGAAAGTTACCCTTGATTCTATCTGAATTCTGTCTTCAAGAGATGACCTAAATTCAGTATCCGTCACAAAACGCTGATTCCCGATATTCCAGGCATCACTTCATGCAGAGCAGCCCTCGTCGTTCCCATATGTACTGGTATGGCTTTATCACTATGTATGGGATCGTGGAGACGTCTGAGACCCGAAGCAAAATACGTCCTTTGGCTACGAGTCGACCAGAAATCCTGCTTCAAGTCAATTTATCACGCAGGTATTTATACGATATTCAAAGCGTCACAGTGGCGTTTTTCCACCTAAAACAGATCTGGGTAGCTCTGAGCTAACAATCATCCCGTGTTAGGGAAGTAAGAAGAGAAGTAATTTTAGCAAAAAGCTTATTCAGAACTCATGAGTGCTCTGAAAAAAGCTCCTTCCCCTTCTCAGCCACTCCTCTAAACGAACTTTTGATGAAAAATTCTTACTCGAATTGTGTTGATGATACTTCCTATGTAGGCTGGCTGGTGAAGGAGCGTAGGATGCAAAGATTTCCGTAAAACCTTCGTATTTCTTCTTCCTGTCAGACCAATTCTTCATCAAAGGATGCGAATTTCAGGCTTCGAACCCATTATACTGGATCCGATACGTGACGGTGATGCATTAGTGACTGATGTAGATACCGTCAATAGGATACTGGAGCAGCGTGCCGAACAGGTAGACTAGGTTACAAAGAATTTTTCTATCCAACTGTTCAGTAAGTTGACTTCATTACACTCCGTAGCGGTGGCGGATACCAAAACAAGGCATTTATGAAAAGCTGTCCTTGGGATTATAAAGTCAAGTGGCGGTGTGGTGTAGTGGCAAAGGGCCCACTATCATACGCGCATGGTCACGAGTTCGAATCCCGCATCGATATCCATCTATCCAAGGCTTCCATCCATCCGGAGCCCATTAATTGGAACCAAGCTCGTCTAGGAGGATAAAAGCACCGACTTGTACATCGGCTGCCCACCGCGAGTCAATGTGTAGGCCCCACACGCATTCAATATGTCACCACGATTCTGAATGGAGGTCGAATGCGGGGCACAACCCTCAGACGGGACTGATGAATGTCCAAGGTATTTATTCTTATGGAACCACTCTGTTAAAGTCGAATAGATCGCGGTTTTCTGCAATTTTTGGATTATCTCTACAAGATTCAAACCGATCAACCCGAAGAGTTGGATAAAGTGTAGGCGTAACTGTTATGGAGGAACAGAATAGCTGTGATCGCTGTAGAACTAAATCCGAACAACTCTGAAGTCGCCATCATAGACTTTAACTATTGTTGTGGTCGAGGTTTTCACAGATTATCTGCATAGTCCGCTTTCTATCACAGGCCAACTCTCTTCTTTCCTATTCAAGCCTCGACTTCAGATTCTCTGTGTCATGTCTACGACCTCCTGTTTTGCTCCACGAAGTCCGGACTCGTTAGAGGCAATATCTGGTCTATGTCAGGTACGTAGGACGCTAATGCTTTTCTTGTTCAAGGAAATAGAAGTTATATTTTCAGTTGTATCAAGTTCCACATCTCGTGAATAATGCCTATGGGCTTCAAAGCGAAGAATGTGTCCGGAGAATAAATGCGGTAATTTTCAGTTGTAATTAATATCTTTGGGGAACAGGATGGTACTGACGGATGGGAGCCGATGTCCAGGCCAACAAACTTGCCATGCCTCTTCATTGGTCTAAAGGGGTGAGGGAGGTAGTTGAGGGGATAGAAATCTATTTCACGCATCATTAACCCTGCAATTCAGTAAATTGAGTGGGCCATATGAAAAACAAATATATGGCAAATAATAAACAACAACCAAATAAGATTCGAACTTGTCTACGATTATGGGGGTTTGAAGATACCACGTCAAACTATCGTCACTTCTCGAAAAAAGACTATTTCTCCTTCTTGCTTTTCGATTTTGCATCCTCGCCTTTAGTAGGGTGTGCTACTACAATGTACCTTGGAGAGTGTGTACTAAAGTACCCTGCCAAGGTCGGTTCAAACAAATGCGACTTCCGTCAGGTCCAGCGGTGGCATTCATGCGTACCTCCTACGAAAAATCCGCCTAGTGGCCAGACAATGTACTAATAGGTTGCGATTGAGTCTCTGCGTATATTTAAGAGGATATAATTGCCTTTTCTCTGCAAAGCAAGGATTCACTCACGTTGCTTAAAGATTACCCAGGCTTTGTTCTATAAATATAAATTACCTTGAGAAGCTGGTAGCTATCCTTTGGGATGAGTGTTTGAAGTACCTAGAAATACGCAGTAACTTGGTTGCCAATCTAATGCTTAGTATCCTCTTAAACCAGATCCATTCGACAGTTTTTTCGANTTTTTTCGAAAAGAGTCGGTCTACTCCAGCTTGGTCCAATCCGAGCTACCATAAAACTGATGCAAACTGCATTGGTTCCTGTGCCACATTTACCAGATACTGTATGCACTCAATTCACTTAAAGAGATGAAAGCTTGGATTTGACTTATCCCGAGTTGGGATGAGCCAAGCATTCCATTCAAGGAAAAGGTGGCGGTGTCTTGCAGGGCAAATCTTTATGCATATGTACCAAACAAAACTGTTATCAATCAAATGACCCTGGGAAATGGAAGCTTGATCAGCCGGCCCCTAGACGGCTCTTTGCGCTGCTCTCCTCCAATCTACTTCGAAATCATGTACATTTCAGAGCCGAGCGGCTGGTCGTATTGATGCGTTTGTGCAGTCTCTCGATAAGAATTTCCAGGTTATTTAGGAATTTTTCTATTTTCCTCCTTCTAAATTTTGCTTTGGGACCTAATAGAAAAAAAAGAGAAATGTCTTTCTAGTTCGCTATCATAGATCCAACCATTGTTCAGCTGATGCTTTTGTTCAGGTACCTGTTGGTGGAGCTATTATAGGAACATTCAAACAGAGTGCCATAAAGACAATAGCCCAATTCTATCCAGGTAAGCAGCAGACATACTTCAGGAGTTGAAAATAGACCTGTCGTTTCTGGTCTATTCCTTACGGCACTCTTAAAAACATCGCCTCAAACAATTTTGCTCAATAAATATAAGAGTAAGGTGCATGTGAAGTTGTTTCAAATTGCCTTTGATGTTGATCGACTCAAAGTGGTGGTTCCCTCCTTCCTCATATTTTGCCTATTCCAAGTCAAACACCTCGAGGGCCTTTCAGAAAGGCGTAAACTCATAGCTGTGTTGCATAATGTAAGAACTAAATTTCCTTCTCAGACGTTGACGAAAGGAGATGAAAATCCTGAATTTCGTTTCCCCAGGGGTGAATATATTTTCGAAAGTCGTGGGAACCGATCAATGCCGTTTTTGGACTGCGCTCACGTATTCGACTTTATTCAGAATTGTAATCACGTTTGAATGCGTGTTCAGCTTGTACAATGACTTACGGGGCACAGGGACAAGCAAATGTCGGGTTTTACTTCACTAGAGGGGAGGTCAGGGTCTTCAGAGTGTGTCATTCCGAAATTTCCGATACAGTAGCGTCATCAATCCACCCTAGCCACATCCTACTGTTAGCAGCATAAGAGAACTGAAATCAAAGGAAGCTATAGAAGGCAGTGCATGGTATTAAGAATTTTGAGAATTCTCTCATCCCTCCTCTACTTAATTTATTTCTTGTCTCTAAAGGACTCTAAAAGGATCATCTATTGTTAAAGGCTCGAAAATTCTGGAGTGAATTCCAGATTTTTCAGAAGGTCACATATGTACAGCATACAATAGATTCAGTTTTTTCTTTAAGCAAGAGTTTTTGTACCGATCTGGGTGTTGTTAAACTCTTGGATGCTGGTGTTGCTGTGGTTAGAATATAAAAATTGGTTTGTTCAAGGACGTGCTTCATGTGTTCCATCTCGGGACCTAGTGCTCACACTGCTTCACCAGGGTCGTAGAGGTCTGCTCGAATCCTACGATGCACAACGAAGGTAAGATTCCGTAGGATTCTGGCCTTCCTCTGGATACTTCTTTGCCGAATCGAAGTTTCCTGCTTATTTTCTTGTAATTGACTTCCCAATGTCACCGCTTTCAGGTTATTCCAGAAAATGAAAAGACGTTTGACTTTGTTTGCAGCAGATATCGGTGAATTCGTATATGACGTGGAAGATAATCAAATAAGTCTAGGTAATTATTTTGTAATTGAAATTTCATAACTCCCAGTTCAGGTATTTTAAAGAATGTGAGGCAATAGCCGCTCAGAGGGGAAATCTCGAAACAGACAGAAGAACCAAGTATTCCACAAGGAAACTACTCTGACAACGCTATATTGTTGTCATCGGAAAACAGAAAATAAGCAAATGCCGAAAATGAAAACAATGACCGAGCTCGTTTAGGGGCTGAATGGGTGCAGCAGTTTCGAGCCTGTGTCTGCTTTTCGGGAATTAGAATCCCCGAATAAAGCATTTCGTCGACTTTGATCGTCGACTTTGATAAAAGTCGACGAATGCTGAGTTTTGCCTAGATAGGGTGAAGGGAAAAATCTTTGGCGTCAGTCATTTTACCTCCTGACCACCTTCCCCTGCCCCTTCGACTCCCCATTCCCCAACTTTCGACTTCAATTCAGAATCGTGGTGCCATTTGAATGCATTTGTAGCCTATACATTGACTTGCGATGGCTAGCCAATTTACATGTCAGTACTCTTCTCCTCCTAGATTTGTCTGGTGCTACTGATTGATTCAACCCAGGGAAATGGAAGGCTCAGTTGGTGGGCTAGCCTCTTAGAGAGGTGCAAAATGCTTAGCTTCGCTGGATGTGGTTGAAGCTGTGGTGGTTAAGCAAGACAACTAGGATGAAAACACTTTTCGTTGTTAGTAGTCAGTGATACACCGCAGACCTCGTTCTGTTTGGTACCTTCAAGCTGATTCGTATGCAACGTTTCGCTAGTCATTGTCAAACCTAAAGGATAAAGGATAAAGTCTTGGAGCGTCAATCAATCCCGTCTGAGGGATGCGCCACACATTCGACTTCCATCCAGAATCGTAGTGGCTACCGAATGCATATATGGCCTATACAATGAATTGCCGTGGCCAGCCGATGTACAAGTCACTGCTTTTATCCTCCTAGACGAGTCTGGTACCAATTACCCCGGAGGGATGGGAGGCTTGGTGGGCTCGGGCGGATATCGATCTAGGATTCGAACCCGTGACCGTGCGCATGTGAAGTGCGCCACTTGTCACTACACCACCTCCGCCCTATTGTAAAACTTACAGATTTAAATATTATAAATCATCTTCTCAAAATGTGTTTCAGCCCTGACTCTTTCATCGATACCGAGAGAAAAACAGTCGCTTTTCGGCTCCGTCCTCTTCAACCGAGGAATCACCGGAGCACGGTGAGTCTAAGTCTTGAGGTCGTTATGCAACCATCTCAACTCCATGGGTTAGAACAGAGCGGGCTAAATGCAAGCCGTCGGATCTATTTTCTGATGAGTTTAAACATTTTTGTTTTTTAAAAATTACTAGTTCTACGAACCAGATGGTTTAAAAAAAAGCTTTAAATGTTCGTTTCCCCTTTCGAAAGAGCATGGGAGCTCTTATATTGTTTTATAATTTTGTTTTAACCGAGTTTCACGTATGCTGCGTTTAGCATTTTATCTGACGTCAGTAACAATGCCCTCAGCAGAGCAGCACGTGGCCTTGACTACATCAGTCAGCTGCAATTTAGGTGCCTTCCCCTGAGGAAGGATTGAGTTTGGCTGGGAATTCCAGCTTTGTTGCAAAGGTAAAATGTCTAAAATCGATGCATGCAACCCAGACTCAGATAAATTCCTGCGAATTCGTCTAGAACATAAATTTCAGAGGATACTTTCTTCCTGGCGTCCAGCTTATACCATAGAACATTGATGCTATTGTTTTTCAAATTTATCCTACTTAT